GTCTTGTGAGCTTCGTTCATGACAACCTCCCTGTACCCGCAGTACTTTGGGGTCCAGATCCGGTTCATGAAATAGTAAACTCCGTCTCCCTTGACTTCTAAGTTCTTTTCCATTCCTCTCAAGGCTTCATCCGAAATGTTCTCTGGTTTTAAGGCTTCCAGCTGAGCCTCTCTGATTTGTGCGGATAATTAGGAATGGATGGTCATTGTCAGTGCCTTCGCCCTACGACCTGAATACTCCTTTCGGCTGAGGGCATCTGCTACCACATTGGCCTTGCCGGGATGGTAGCGTATTTCGCACTCGTAATCACTTAGTAGCTCTACCCATCACCGTTGTCTCATGTTCAACTCTTTCTGATCGAAGATATGTTGTAGGCTCTTATGGTCGGTGAAGACAGTTCACTTGGTTCCGTAGAGATAATGTCTCCAAATCTTTAACACAAAGACCACTACTCCCAACTATGGATCGTGAGTTGTATAATTGACTTTGTGTGCTTTCATCTGTCTCGAGGCATAGGCAAACCTTTCCTCGATGCATGATGATATGCTTAGTGACATGTTAGGTCGGTATCCTGGTATATAGGATGATGCTATGATTAGTGATCTGTTATATTGGTCTGGCTGTTTGTATATGCTAGCATTTGATATTTATGTGTTGATTGTGTGATTGGGGATGAGTTGAGGTGTTCTCTGCTTTGTGCTCTAGGCCAACATACCTAGGGTGGCTCGGATAGACCGCAGACCCGGTAAGGGTGTACTAGTCAGGCCGAAGGCCCGACGAATGGTCCGGATAGGCTGAAGGCCCTGCGAGGCTGTCCAAACGTGTCGATGGCTCGGAGAGCAGTCCAGATAGGTTATAGGCCATAAGAGGCGTTCCATTCAGGCTGATGGTCCAGTATGCATGTTGTTTGTTATGATATGGTTATGGTTTGTATGACGTTGGTATTTTGGGGGACCTCACTAAGCTTCGGGCTTACAGTTGTTGATTTTGTTTCAGGTACTTCAGATGATCGCGGGAAGGCGCAGGCGTGATCGTGCACCTCCTCATATGTTATGATTTTGATTTCTGGGATACTCTGACATTAAACTATTTTGAAAACACTTTGTAATAATTAATGGTTTAAATTGACT